GTTCTGGTCATCCCATCTGAAAAAAACATATTAGAATTGGAAAAGTTGCAAAGAAAGAGCAAAAATAATTAGCATATGGAACTGCTTCCATATGAGAAGAGATTAAAAAGACTGGGACTGGTCAACATAGAAAAGCAACCACTAAGGGGGGGACATGGCAGAAGTTTATAAAATCATGAATGTTGTGGAGAAAGTGAATAGGAAAGTGTTATTTACCCCTTCATACACCAAAAGAACAAGGGGGTTACCCCCTGAAATTAACGGGCAGCAGGTTTAAAACAAACAAAAAGTAGTATTCACACAATGCACAACCTGTGAAACTTGTTACTAGGGGATGTTATGAACGCCACAAGTATAACTGGGTTCAAAAAAAGAACTAGATAAGTTAATGGAGGATAGGTCCATCAATGGCTACTAGACTAGGCTACTAAAGGATCAGGGATGCAACCCCATGCTTTGGGTGTCCCTAAATCTCTAACTGCCAGAAGCTGGAACTGGGCAATGGGGTTGGATCACTCTATAATTGCCATGTTTTATTCATTCTCTAAAACATCTGGCACAGGCCTCTGTCAGAAGACAGGATATGGGCTAGATGGACCATTAGTCTGACCCAAGATGACCGTTCTTAGGTGACTAAAATAGACTGTAATAGCTCCATTGAAATAAATATTTGTATGTTCACTATCTTTTTTTGGTATGTATATGTTACTATAGTGAATCCTGCTGGCCACAATAGCCCCCATAAACACACCTCCAAATCTTTTTGACCATTATAGTAGGATGCAGTTTAAGAGAAGGGCAAAAATATTCAGGTAACTTTACTTGTGCACATCTGTAGCTCTAACACAAAACATTGGTCAAGTAAACTAACATTTTTAGCTAGTCCTTTTTAAATATTAGTATTTCACGTTTGGAAAAATTGCTAATCTGAAAGCAGCTTTCTTTCCGAGTTGCATTAGAAGGTTTATTTCAATGCAATTTACGTTGGGGGAAGGGGGATGCTGGAAATGCCTTATGCAGGTCATGGGCTGCTAAAGTGAGTCAGTATGGAGATTTAACCTATATAGAGCCTCTATAATAAAAGGTCTTTGCTGAAGTATAGACTTTTTTATATTCCAGAATTGTAAAATATTGTTTGCAGTATAATGTCAATACAATTTCCTGTTTTTCTGACAAACTAGCATTACACTATTGATTACACATTACTGATTTATACCTGCCTCTGGAGATTTCCATTACTTGCATCTGAAGAAGTGAGGTTCTTACCCACAAAAGCTTATGCTCCCAATACTTCTGTTAGTCTTAAAGGTGCCACAGGACCCTCTGTTGCTTTTTAGCATTACACTAGTGCTTGGGCAGGACCAGATGGCTTTTAAGAAAACTTTCAAACTTCTCCCAGTTTTGGGTCACAGATTGATATCTAATAGTTTGTCTCCTTCCTAAGCTTTACATGAACTTCCTGTTGCAGTTTCTTCTTTTTCTTTTTTGAAGGGGGAAAAAAAAGTTTTTAGTATTTTATCTAAATATAAATGGGGCTTTTTTGTGATGTACTACTTATAGTTTGGGAGATGGGGGGCTATTTAACTTGGTTTCAGAATTGCTGTATTTTATACTCTCAGGAACTCAATTATTGCTTCACAAAATGGGGAATTCTTCCCATTAGGTTAAATATAGCAAGGCTGGAAGTATAAAGAAGGAAATGAATCTTGTTTGTTGTTTTAAACCCACTTAGAATGGCTAAGATGTTTCTGATATATTGGTGAAAAAGTGACTGTCAATTCACTGCTTATTTATAATTGTTTGTATCAGATCAGCTATTGAATTCACCTTCTATGTTTGTTTGTACAGACTTAATATGGAAAAACTAATTTATTTTTTTCTTTGTAGCCTTCTCTTCAGTCTTCAAGCCCAGGTAAAAATTTTAATGTAGTATTATGTTTGAGAGGGAGGGGAACACTTCAGTAAAATGCCAGTCATTACCTTCTATTTTTTTTAATATTATTGCTATTGGAATTAACAGTGCAAAGTTGAAATTAGAGGCATTGCATATTCCCAGTTACTACAGGGTTATCACTGTTGTATGGTTCTAATTTTTAATTAGGTTTGTTAATTGAATAATTAAATCGTTTTTAAATCTTAAAAATAACATACACCTTTGAAAGTATCTTTCCTATGCATCTTACGTTGTCTTACGTAAACCATTAGACAGTGAAGATGACCGCTTCCAATTTGATTTTTAATCATTGTTATATTTTGGCATACTTTAATTATTTGTAGTGATTGTAATTCGTTCTAGTTATTATATTTTATATTTGTCATTTAAAAGACACAAATAGGAATATGTATACTAACTGTATTTTTCATTTCCATACATCACAAAACCATCACACAATTTGACATAATTGGCAGCCTTTGATTAGTAGATGACCAGTACGGAAAGTGCAGAAATTTATGTGGGTCAAGATTAAGGTCAATTTACAGAGCATTGTCGTTTGCATAGCAGCTACTTGTATGTATTATGTCTATAATTTGACTAGTACATAATACAAGACTAGTGACCGTTATATTTGTCCCATGTTTTCCATGCATGAAATTCACTCACATTAGCAGGAAAACCAAAGGCTTTTTTTCACTGATCCTGCAGTACACTCTGTGGACTGTAATCAATAGGAGCATATTTGCTTCTATGGATTACTGAAAAAAAAAAAAAGGAATTTCCATCACATCTCTTTTAAAAACTGGTTGATGTCTGATCTGATATGATTAACTCATTTCTGCTGGGCTTTTTAGTGTGCAGTGTTGTAATAAAGACTGAGTGCTTGCTTTTTCACACCTTGCTACTACAGTAACCAGTGTTAATTATATAACGCTTTGTCCAAGATGATTGTCCTTGTCAAGATTAACATCCTAGTAGTTTAAATGCAAGCCTTCCAACATTAGCAGCTTCACTTTTTTGTTGGACTACCTTGTCTTGAACAGTTATACCATTTAACTATGCTTTAGCAATAAAAGCAGTACAAACCGCTAGTGTAGATGCAGTTATATCAGTATAAGGCCTTTTTTACTTCTATAACTATATCCACGCTAGGGGCTGTACTGGTATAGTTATTTCAGCAAAAAAATCACGCCTACATATACTGGTGTTCCGTGAGAAACTGGAATTTCTTTTAGAATTCGTGTCAGCGGATATTTTTGCTACTTTAGGTAATAAATATGCTGCTTTTGGTTATGAAATTATCTGTTCAGCAAATAGATGTTTTCTGCAAATTATGGGGAGATCATTTCAAATGAAAGCCAGACTCTGCTCTGCTGCAAGTCCTACAAAAGATCAGGTTTTGGCATTGGAAGCTACTGCATCAACAAAAGCAATCAAATCTTTAATTTTTAAGATTTTACAGAGCATCATTGTTCAGTAGTGTTCTTTCATGTAGTGAAAATACCAAACAAAATAATTCAGTACATTATGTAATTGTATAGCAGCATGCATGACTACCTAATAGTGTCAGGTACTATAAAAAGTTGGAAATGTTTATTAAAATAAGTGATTTTTCCATTCCTTTAACATGCAAATTCATGTTTTAAACAATTTTTTTTTCTTGGAGATCTCTTAATGTCTTTCTGTGATGTAAATTGTCACCGTCAGTGACTTCATAACCTGAAGACATTTACTAAGCTTCCCATTGCAAAGTAGATGCTAAATTTCACTGTTAATATCCCTGGACTACAACATATTTGAAAACTTAAATATTGCTAAAACTCATTTAATGATAGTTGATGCACTTGATATTTTAAAATGGATTTATAAACATTAATGCTCATAACACCACTGTGAGCTACATATCACTTTTTACAGATTTGGAAACTGAAACACAGATGAAGTTACTTGCCCAAGGCAAGTAGTTAGAAGTGCTGGGATTATAAATCAATAGTTCGTGGGTTTCAGCATTGTGCTCAGTCTGTTAGCAATCTGCCTTTCATTTATTTTTTCACTTATTACTGCTAATTGTTACTATATCTAGACTTTTTTACAAAGAATCATGCGAAAGGGGGGAAAAAACAAAAAAGGTAGAAAATTGCCTGAATGCCAAGGTCTTGACCAAGTGTGCAAAGTCTTAAAACTTCCTTCTAATCTATAATTATGAATAACAATACTCCATTCATGTCCTTTCAGTTTTAAGAATGGTACCTTCCAAGAAGCCAAGAAAATTCCCTTCATGTACATCATGGTCAATATTTGTAGTAATTTACCCAGTGTAGAACTCTGGTGCAGGCTGTTGAATATCTCAGCTTTTGAAGACACCAACCCCTAAATTATCAGTTGTATAGAGATTAAGCTGAGGGCTGTGTGTAGCAGCAGTTGGTGTCATGCAACTGTGCAGTACTTTGAAAACGGAAGTCAAACCCTCACCTTTGATTATTTCTGTAGCTTTTGACCATCTAAACAGAGTATGAACCTCTCCTTTGAATAAATAGGACAGTTGAATTCTTTAAAACTTCAGACTTTGCAAACATCTTTCGTGTCTAGATTTTATTTTAGTTTGGTTATTGTTGAAATTTTTATTCATACCAAGTAGGGCTGTCGATTAACCGCAGTTAACTCACGCAATTAACTCAAAAATTAATCGCGATTTAAAAAAATTAATTGCGATTAATCGCAGTTTTAATTGCACTGTTAAATAATAGAATACCAATTTAAATTTAAATATTTGGATGTTTTTCTACATTTCCAAACATATTGATTTCAATTACAACACAGAATACAAAGTGTATAGTGCTCACTTTATATTATTTTTTATTATAAATATTTGCACTGTAAAAATGATAAAATAAATAGTATTCAGTTCACCTCATACAAGTACTGTAGTGCAATTGAAAATGTAGAAAAATCCCAAAATATTTAAATAAATGGTATTCTATTATTGTTTAGCAGTGCAATTAATAGCGATTAATTTTTGTAATCGCTTGACAGCCCTAAAACCAAGCTAACTCCTTAAACCCATGATGTGATTGATCAAATTCTTTTCAAATTTTTTATACTAGGAGGTTCAGCAACATCTGATGACCATGAATTTGACCCGTCGGCTGATATGCTGGTTCATGATTTTGATGATGAACGGACATTAGAAGAGGAGGAAATGATGGAAGGAGAAACAAACTTCAGTTCTGAAATAGAGGATCTTACAAGGGTAAATGGCACTTATGGGTTATAAAACAAAAATATCATTTATGCAAGATGATTACATTTTGTTGGATTTTGATCACAAATACATTGGTGAACAAATAAATCCTAGGAATGGTGACCTGTTGAGGTACTTCGCAATTAAAAAATCTGTAGCAAAGAAGCTGATGTCTATATAATAGACTGCAATGCTTGTTGAGGTATAGTTTTTTTGTTTATACCTATTGGTGTAGATGTCCTATTTTAGACCTATCATAAACGAAGTGCTCTAGCTAAATGTTTGTTTTACATAAATTGATTACTACATGTTAGTTTCAAATTTCTGTAAATAAACTCCTTCGTTCCATAACTTTTTTTAATTTTACATTTTAAATTCTTTGTACAAACATTCATCCTCATACCACTCCTGTGATGAAATAAGTAGTATTCACCCCATTCTGTAGGTGGGGAAACTGAGACAGGGATTAAGCAATTTGCCCAAGGCCACATCATGAGTTGTCAGCAGAGCTGAGATTAGAACACCAATTAATGATGACTATGCATACATCTTAAAATGTGTACTGAAAATAATTGCATTCTAAGATTTATTTATTTTTATCTTGGGCTCTTGCTGTCATTTAAATACTGCTTTAAGTGGGCTCTTGGGGGATATGAACTTGGCAGAATTTTGACTTCAGTTGCAACTGGTTATTCAGTCAGGAACAATACTTTGTGGTTAAGGATGTTCATAATGAATTCTAAACTAGTTTAAATGTAGTCTGTGATTTCATTGGTTGAAAGGCTTTCAGCACGTGTAATTATCTTCAAATTTATATCTAAAGTACAATTTTCTTCAACTACAGTAAATCACTACCAGTTCAACTTTAAAAAGCTATTTAGCATGTTTAATCTTTAGTAACAATAATGAATGGTCACTTACATTTGTAATTGCAGGTTTGATATTAAAGATGAAAATGAAGTTAAGTAAATCAGTTTATTACAAATTTGGAGACACTTTGTCTAGAAAGGGTGAATTCTGGGAAATAAGATTCCTCAAGTATGTAGAGAGAGCTTTCAATACAATTGCTTTCCTTCCTTATATTTTATATAACTTTTTCAAGGGTCAGCTTGGTGGTATAGTTGTGTACTACCTTGTGATGCCATGGCAATGATCAAAGGTCAGGACCAGAGTTTGTTCCTTGGCAGGAGTTGGAAACTATGGTGGGTCTCCATGTTTTGGCTCTCTGCTGAGCAAGACAATGAGCAGTGTTGCTGTTTAGATCTAGGAGGGAGCATGTGCTACCCCTCTGTAGAGGAAGGGTGTTTATAAATTGGCCCTGTATTCCACTGTACAGTTATCAGCCTGTTGTGAATGGATCCTTGGATCCAAGCCAACTAGGTCTGGGCAGAATTTAGTCACTGGTTCTAGCTCTGGAACACTCTTCCCGGGCTCAGATCTCTTGTCTGACACCCTTCCTTGAGATATTGAATGCCACCATCCAGCTCCTGTATATCCTGAAACCAGTGTTAGACCTCCCAAGTCACATGCTCCATGAGTTCCACCTAGGTTGTGGGCACTCCGGGCTTACTAGTTTAACCCCTTCAGAGACCATGTAGTAGGAAAGAAGGGAACACAAGTTTAGCAAAGGAATTGCTTAACCATAGTGACTTTACTTTTAAAGCATTCAAGAGTTATAGATCTTTGAAAATAACAAAGTCCAGAGACATACCATCCCCTAGTCTGAGTTCACCCCTATTTATGAGTCCATGGTTTGTCAGCATTTCAGGCTGGGCAGTCTCTCTTGAAGTTCACATGTGGTGGTGATTGGCCCCCTATGGAGAGTATATCCTCCGTGGCCTTAAATAGGGCCTCAGACTCTGTGCCATGTGCTCACAATAAGAAGCTCCAGATCTAACTGTCATGTTTCTGTTCTCCTGCCCACTCTACCTTTGTAGGCCGCTGTGTAGGAAAAAAACAACATTGTTTCATGGGGGTGGGCCAGTAGCTGAGAAATGAAGTGATGGCCCTAGATTGCAGTCTTGATGGATCTCAGTTATAGTCCCTTCAAGGTGCCATACATCTTTCCTGGGCAGGGTAGCTCTCTGGGATACAATAACTGCCCTGGGGAAAGTTCAGACTTGTGCAGTTACAGTGCTTATATTTCTACAAATAGGACAACATAGAGATCATAATTTGATACCCACCTTGTCACAAATGGTTGCTAGAACCCGAAGCTTTTTGGAGTGTAATGGGGTAAGGCAGGCTCAGAGAATCCGCCTAAGTAAAGAGAGATAAAGTGGGTGAGGTAATATCTTTCACTGGACTACTATTGGTGAGAGAGACAAGCTTTCAAGCTATTCTTTCTTCTTTTGAAGAACTCTGTATATGTAAAAAATTTGCCACCTTACTCAACCAATCTGCTGCTTGTGTCCTGTCTACTGGCTTCATGATAAAATATATTTTTACTTTTTTGCTTTTTGGGAGCACTGTAATGCTAAGGGATTGTCAGCTGGATTCCTTGCTTCTTTGGGTACGTCCAGACTACCCGCTGTATCAGCGGGTAGTGATCGATTTATCGGGGATCGATATATCGTGTCTCGTTAAGACGCGATATATCGATTCCCCGAACGCGCTCCCCGTCGACTCCGGAATTCCACCGGAGTGAGCGGCGGTAGCGGAGTCAATGGGGGAGCCGTGGTCGTCGATCCCGCGCCGTGAGGACCCAAGGTAAATCAATCTAAGATACTTCGACTTCAGCTACGCTATTCACGTAGCTGAAGTTGCGTATCTTAGATCGATATCTCCCTCTCCCCCCGTGTAGAAGTTCGAAGTTCCAATTACAGGGCAAACCAGATGCACTTGTGCATCACCATTTAAGGCAGTGAGGTTATATAGGTGTTAGAGAGTATAATTTGGCCAGCACTTCTTACTAATGGTTCAGGAGAATGAAAGATCCAATGTTGAATTTGCAGGGCTGACAGTTAATGTTTTGTATTAAACTGAACACAACTGTTGATTAAAAAAAATTAGGAGCCATATGTAGTCATCTTTCAGAGTAGAACCTCTTTTAAATATAAAGACCTAAAAATGGACAAATATTTTAAAGGGTTACTTTTAACTGTGCACATTTGTAGACAATTTTTAGTAGTTTTATTTTAAAAAGTAGTGCAACAATGTGCTCAATAGTATTTACCTCTTGCCCGTGATGAAGAGCTGAGTGGTATCTGTGTGAACAGTGACCTGCTAGTCAGTATTATGCATAATTTGGGAATATGTATGCAAAATCAGGTTTAAATTCCTACACTGCTAGAAGTTCAAAGTCCTGCCATATGTCATTCAATAAGTAATTTTCCCCAGATTTATAAGGCTTCCAATTTTTTCCCAATGACCACATTTTCATGTTAGCTGAGATAGTCTTAACACATGCATTCCTCACATATTTGCCCATGCTAGGTTACGTGTAAAATACATATCTTAAAAATGTGGAGAAGGTCTGTGTAATGTGAAATGTCTTTGTGGAAGTCAAAACTTTGCTTGGTGGATGTTATTCAGGAAGGTGAAATGCCAATTAATGAACTACTTAGCCTTTATGGCTATGATGGTACAGTCCCACTCCCAGAAGACGAAGATGACGACGATGAGGAGGAAGAGGAGGAAGAGGAAGGAGAAGATGATGAAGATGTTGATAATGATGACAACAGTGGATGTAGTGGAGAAAACAAAGTAAGTGACTGTATTAATTGGAAAAAATTTCCCATTCAGTTGTCTAGTACTATGTCCTGAAATTCTGAACTAGTTTGCATGCTCCTTCTAGTTTAGTCACTAATAGTTCATAAAAGCCCTACATGGACATACAAGATGCCAAACCACAGCAGAACATAAAAACAGCCATCCTGGGTCAGACCAGTGGTCCATCTACCCCAGTATCCTGTCTTCTGACAGTGGCCGATTCCAGGTGCTTCAGAAGGAATGAACGGAACAGGCAGTCATTGAGTGATCCATTCCCTGTCATCCACTCCCAGCTTCTGGCAGTCAGAGGCTAGGGACACCCAGAGCATGGAGTTGCATCCCTGACCATCTTGGCTAATAGCCATTGATGGACCTATCCTCCATGAACTTATCTAGTTCTTTTCTGAACTCCATTATAGTTTTGACCTTCACAACATCCCTTGACAATGAGTTTCGCAGGTTGACTGTGCATTGTGTGAAGAAGTACTTCCTTTTGTGTGTGTTAAGCCTACTGCCTATTAATTTCATTGGGTGATCTCCAGTTCTTGTGTTCTGTGAATGATTAAATAACATTTTCTCCACACTAGTCACAATTTTATAGACCTTTATTATATCCCCTCTAGTCATCTCTTTTCCAAGTTGAAAAGTCCCAGTCTTTATCTTTTCTCCTACTGAAGCTGTTCCATGCCTTAATCATTTTTGTTGCCCTTCTCTGTACCTATTTCAATTCTAATGTGGTTTTTTTTTTTTTTTTTTTTTGAGATGGGGTGACCAGAACTGCATATAGTATTCAGAGTATGGGCATAGCATGAATTTATATAGTGGCATTTTGATATTTTCTGTTTTATTATCTGCTCCTTTCCTCATGGTTCCTAATGTTCTGTTAGCTTTTTTGACAGCCGCTGCACATTGAGCAGATGTTTTCAGAGAGCTATCAACAATGAGTCCAAGATTGTTGAGTGCTGACAGCTAATTTTTAGACCCCGTGATTTTGTATGTATAGTTCAGATTGTTTTCCAGTTTGCATTATTTTGCATTTATCAACATTTTGAATTTATCTGACATATTGTTGCCTAGTTCACCCAGTTTTGTGAGATCCCTTTGTAACTCTTCGCAGTCTGTTTTCAACTTAACTATCTTGAGTAATTTTGTATTGTCTGCAAATTTTGCCACCTCACTGTTTACCCCTTTTTCTGGATCATTTATAAATATGTGGAGAATCATTGGTCCCAGGACAGATCCCACTATTTACCTCTCTCCATTCTGACAATTGACCATTTATTCCTACCCTTTTTTTTTTTTCTATCTTCTAACCAGTTACTGATCCATGAGAGGACTTTCCCACTTATTCTAAGCACTTACTTTGCTTAAGAGCATTTGGTGAGGGACCATGTCAAAGGCTTTCTGAAGGTCCAAGTACATTATATCACCCTTATCCATATGTCTGTTAACCAATTCTGGTAGATTGGTGAGGCATGATTTCCCTTTACGAAAGCCATGTTGACTCTTCCCCAACAAATCATGTTCATCTAGGTGTCTGATAATTCTGTTTTTTACTATAGTTTTAACCAATTTGCCTGGTATTGAAGTTCGGCTTAGCAGCCTGAAATTGCCAGGATTGCCTCAGGAGCCTTTTTTTAAAAACAGGTGTTGCATTAACTATCCTCCAGTCATCTGGTACAGAAGCTGAAACAGAAATAGTTTGCACTATGTTGGGAGGCAAATCTATTATGAATACTTGCATGAATACTGCACTCTTAAACACTGCAGAATTGATTCCAAAAGGTCTCCAAATAGAAGTGTGGAAGAAGCAACAAATGGTACAGCCAATGGATCTTTGCGTAAGAGGTCCACATGGCCCAAACCTGAGTTGATTTTATCAGAGGACTGAATTAGGTGTTACTCCCCTCATCCCTCTTGCTTTATATCCAGTTGTAGTTGGTTAAGGATCAACTGCTAATGAGCTTTGGCCCTTTTACACATGTTGAACCATAACTGTTGTCTGCCAAGTTTCTTGCCGCTTCATTTAATACCTAGTCACTGTCAGATCCAGAATAAACTTGTCTAGATGGACCAGCAGTCTGACCCAGTCCAGCAATTTCTATTCTCCTATGAAAGGCACTTTTACTTGAACTTTGCTCACTTGTTCAGGAATGAGCTCTAAACATCTTCTCAATCTCATAAACCCTTGGTGTATTTCATCTTTATAGCATCAATTCTGGATGCTATAGAGACAAATTATAAATTGCATATACTGTAGCGTTATATACAACAGGATCATAGTCTGCTTTAAAGCATAGTGTCTGACTCTTCTGAAAACAATGTATTTTATATACTTGAGCCTATCATTATGGATGTGATAATTCAGTAGTTATTTTATTGATGAGGTGTGGCACTGAAATAAAAAGTCATCCCATGATGGTGGCAGATTTCCTGAATTTCTGAAATTCAGGCAATTTTAAATCACTTTTGACTGACATATTAAAGACTGACAGTGATTGTTCCTATATAATAAATAGTTAAAAATAAATGATCAAATATTTTGTGAGAATATATCATTATAATCATGGCCTCTTTAAAATGCAGTCCTATGAACTCTTAAGATAAACAAGCATCTTTTTAGAAGGCAGTTTTCTGCTTGCAGTTCTCCAGACCCTGCCTTTAACTATAGTTCTAATTATTCTGTGTTTGATTTCTTCTATACTGTCATGACATAATTATAACTTGGCCATTGTTGGTGGCCTTTTAAAGCATATAATCTTACAGTATTACAGTTGTAATATAAAATCCTTTGTACGGTTAATACCAAAAGGATCAAGGGAGGTTAGGAAACTTAGTATGGATTGAAAAAAGAAAATATTGTCCTTAATATAAATGTACTGTTTATTATAGCACTCACAACTGAGGATCTATCTCACCCATTTTATAGATATGGAAACTAAAGCATAGACAGGTTAAGTGACCTGCACAAGGTTGCATGATAGGTGTAAGGGTAATGAGATATAAATTATGGCCAGGATCACCTGTGCCTTTGAGGTTATTTAGCATTGTTGCTGTTTTGAGAAAGAAACCAATTTGGTATGATTTATGGATTCTATTAAGATCATGTGAAAGCAAATATAATTTAAATCAACATATCACTGTCTAAATTAATATAATTTTCCGAAACAAACAGGATGGAACAATACAATGATTAAATCTAAGGCTACGGTTGAGGTTGAATTGATTAATCAAGATATTAATAACATGAAATGGGATCTACAGTTGATCAGATGATCAAATCAACACAGTCAGTCATATCAGGAGTTCAATGAAATACATGATGAATCTTTGGTCTACTTTTGATTGCTTTTGGTCTAATTTCAGCTCTTAGGTTTAGTATGTGGATGAGGTGTTGGTGTCCTGTGATAAACAACAGGTCAAACTAGTCGATCTGGTGGTCCCTTCTGGCCATAAACTCTGACTCTAACCTTACACATAGTAACCCCGTACAGTCAAGGAGGCATAGTTTTTCTCAGCTTTTGAACTATTATTACACTCCTTCAAAGCACCATTAATTGAATGATGTACTCTATTTGCTCCCCTTCTGGCTAACTTATCTACTTTAATACAGTGGTGATCAGCAACTCATGATTCCCCTAGCGGGTAGAGTAATTTAATGCTGATACCTTTAAGAATGAAGGGTTACACTCTGTGATCTGTCACCTGCTTAGAATTTGAGTTGGTATCTAATTGTGTTCTTTTTAATATAGATTTACATAGTGCTACTACTTAAACATCTACATGTTCACATATATTCACACGTTAGAAAGGTTAGCCCCCTTACCACAGCAAGAAATTAGTTACTACACAAACCACCAGTTCTCTAATTAAAAGGTTGCCTTTACTTTCGTCCAGACCTAAGGACACAAGCTAAGGACACAGCTGTTTTTTGAGATCCTGTAATGTAAATCCCATTTAAGATAAAGGAAATTAAAGTTTATACATGCTAGGCCACTCTACAGTAGGCCCGCTTGCCTTACTTGGGTGTTTGGCTGAGCAAAGAATAGAGCTCTTTAACACAAACTCTTACATGTTTGGTCTCTGTTCAACATACGAGTGAAATCCTAGCAGCAATTTTTAGTTAAAAGATTAAAATATGTTGGAAAATTCTAACTATACTTCTAAAAATAGGGCTATAGCAAAAATGGCCGAAACATGGCATTTGCTTACTTCTTAAGGAGCATTAGTGCCTTACGTCAACCTCAATTTTTTGTTAAAATCTATCAAAGTTCTGACCATTTGAAAATTGCATGCTGAATAGAGTCCCAACTCCACAAGCTCATGTGTGGCTGGACCTTCTGTACCCTTGTCAGTATTCCATTGACACTTCCATGCCTTGTATCAATGCGGCTCTTGCCCACACGTATCAGTTTACAGGCTTGGAGCCTTTGGATGGAATGCACTGAGTACACGAGCAGCTCTTTAAAGCGTGAAAGTTTGTTCTTGTGATTTAAAAGCTCCCCGGTAAAAATTGCAAAGTCTGTGCAAGTTGAATAACTCTGAGAGAAGAAATTTTTAAGGTATGGATATTGTACTTAAGGAAACAAACAAAGCCGTAGAAAACAAATTTGGGGGCGGAGGAGGTGTACTTAATGCAACGTAGACGGTGAAAATTTAAAAGGAATGACATTAATTAAAAAATGAAAAGTTCCTATGGAACCATTGATTTGGCTGTATTGCATTTGGACTGTTTTTGATTTCCTGTTTACTTATGAAACTTGCAGTTTATATTCTGCTTTGTCATTAAAAGCATACAGGATGTGCACAATGTGTCTGAGATGTTGCAACAAATAAGTTTGAGCAAGTTGCATTAGTGATCTTCACCAAATGCATAAATCAATCCACTAACTCATTTTTTTAACCCTTCTCATGTAACTTTCTTTAATTCTAATATCTCCCACTATGGTGGTTTCATTTCTGTACAGCATCTGTTCTTTTAATATTTGATCTTTCTACCATTTTTACTTAACTCAGTGATGTTAGAATTGGAATATGCTGATATATTCTTCTTGTGGGGTGAAATCTAATTATTGAAGGTTTTTAAGATAACCTCACACCTTGAAGAGTAACTTTTTTTTGGCTACATCTACACTACAAGGTAGGGGTGTGATCCCAGCTCACATATACATACTTAGCGCAAGTATAAATAGCAGTATATCTGCAGTAGCATGGGCAACAGCACATCTTAGCTGTGCCAAGTACGCAGGGCCGGCACCAGCTTAACAAGTAGGTGCTTGGGGCGGCACCTGCGGCAATTTGGGGGCGGCAGGTCCCTTGCTCCCTCTGGGAGCAAAAGACCTGCTGCTGAACTGCCGCCGTCAAATTTTTTTTTTTTTGCTTGGGGCGGCAGAAATGCTGGAGCCGGCCCTGCAAGTACGTGCCCACATTGGGTTCAAGCAGGTTTATACTTGGCATGGCTGATCCATGCTGCCGCTGTCTGTGCTGCTGTGGCTATGCTACTATTTTTCACTCATGCCAACTCTCTGTAGGTGTATGCGAGCTGGGAATCTCATCCCTAGTTTGTAATGTAGATGTAGCCTTCCATGGGTTTAGAAATGATTATCCAGCGTTTCCTAATCCTGATATTAAAAGAACAGGAGTACTTGTGGCACCTTAGAGACTAACAAAT